TAATGAGTGTAACTTGGAATGTGTGACGTATGAATTTAGGGAAATTGGAAGTGTCAAAAATTTAATGGAACACATCAAGATTCCTCTCCTGGGTATTAGTGAGCTGAAATTGGCTAATATTGGCCATTTTGAATCAGAAAATCATGAGATTTATTATGCCTAGAATAACAATCAAGAGGAATGGCGTGGCATTGTCAGAACGGATCTTGCTAAATCGACCATGAAGTACAATGCTATCTGTGATTAATCTGTGTGCCTTCAAGAAAACCCAATCAATACAGGTATTATTCAAATTTGTGTACCACCCACAAAAGCTAATGATGAAGAAATTGAAGAATTCTACCAACGACTTCAGTTGAAATTGATCAGACATGCAATCAAGATGCATTGATAGTTACTGATGATTGGAATGCAAAAGTTGGAAACAAAGAGGAAGGAACAGTAGTTGGGAAATATGGTCTTGGTGATAGAAATGGAAGCTGGAGATCGCATGATAGAATTTTGCAAGACCCATGACTTGTTCATAGCAAATACCTTTTTTCAACAACACCAAAGGTGACTATACACGTGGACTTCCCTAGAGGGAATACACAGAAATCAAATTAACTACATCTGTGGGAAGACACAATGGAGAAGCTCAATAATAACACTGAAAATGAGACCAGGGGCCAGCTGTAACAGACCATCAATCGCTCATAAAGAATTTTAGGAGAAAGCTGAAGAAAATTCAAACAAGTCCACAGGAGTTAACGTACGACCTTGGGTCTATCCCCCCTACATTTCAAGAACATGGAACATGTTTTACCTACAGGTATATATTTATTATTAATAAAAGTATTAATAATTGACCATACTACATATATTTTATATATAGATATTTTAACTTAACACCATATTGTGGACATCTTGGAGATATAAGTCAACACGATTCTTTTTTTAAAAATAGTTTTATTGGCATATATTTCACATCTAATACAATATAATCATTCAATCATAATATCTGTACAATCATTACCAGTCAAATTCAGAACATTTTCCTGTCATATTCATTGTTGTTAGCTCCTTATTTCCCACCATCCTCCCCTGCTATGCCACTAGGCAATTATAAATCCAGTTACTGATCTATGGAGCTACCTGTCCTGGATTTCATATACAGAAAATCATAGAAAACACAAACAGTAAGCAAACAAAGAAAAAAAAGATCCCCCCCCCATAGATTTCAATAAAAACGACTGCAGAAAATATTAAAAGCTGAAATAACTTTTAAATAGGTCAAAAGATATCAAAAGGCTTCCTTAATTACTTCTGCCTTAATCAACTTTACAATGTGGTCGGATAGCAAACGATCTGATTCTTTTAGTACTGACATTTTGGAATAGCTCATCCTTCGATGTGGGAAGTTGTGCACTATAGGAAGTTTAGCAAGAATGGTATCTAGTGGAAGCCAATAGTATTCCCTCCGAGTCATGGTGACAGAACACATCTCTAGACATCCCATGTCCCCTGAAGGGAATAACCTTCCTCAGCTAGAACTACTGTTTCTGTAGCATAAACACTTCATGTTGACCATTTCCCCAACAAATGCTGTAGGAAGTTACAGATGAGTCTTACACCTTTGTGAATGGGGGTGGAGTTTTGTTGTTACTGCTTAAATTTAGTATCAAGTCCCGGAATAGCTAACTCAAAGACTGTGTTTGAGGTACTTCCGGATTTATATGTAGGAGGGACTTTGGGGCAGGGTGTCAACTTGGAAGGGAGAGCCACAGGATTTATAATGAAAGGGGCATTTACATGGTGAGGACATTATCTTAAAATAGAAATTGTGTTCATTTGTAGAGAGGGTGGGGAAGGAGGCCTGATGATGAGAGAAGGGGAGGGGCAGTCCACTGAGTGTAGTTCTTTTAATTCTAACAGGTAGAGACTAATTCTGTAAAACAAATATGTAAATTAACCCTTTAAAAGAGCTGTTCTTTAAATTTTGTTAGCACACATGCAGTGGATTTCTTATGACCAAACACCTTTATAT